AAATTTTAAAAATTTTAAATTTAAAGTTTTTTTTTTTTAGTAAATTTCTGTCTAAAGCGTATTTATGATAATTATTATTATAACTTACAATTTCAAAAAAAATTTTTTTCAACCATAATTTAGATTAATTTTCATTACTTGTTTTTTTTTAATTTAAAAAAAATTTTTAAAAAATAAAAATTTTATTAATTGTTTGATTTGTCATAAAATGCCTAATTGTATAATAATGGTTAACAAAAATTAGTTTGAAGAGATTGTAAAAATAATTATAAATAAAATAATAATAAAAAAAGTTTAATATAATGCTAATAAAATTATTTTCATAGTGATTGATTATAATTTAATATAACTTTTGGAAATCATATCAGCGCAAGCGATAAGTGGGTAAGTAGGATAAAAATAAGTAGTAAAAAATGAATATTCGATAAAAAATATTTTATTCTTTGGTTTTTTTTAATTTAATTAATGAATTATTTCCATATTTAACTATCAGTTCATCAACAAATTGATCTTTCAATTTTTTCAGGCACCTAAAAAATTTGAATGTAATATATAATTTTTTTTTAATTTGAATTTTATCCGTAAAAGCCATCAAATACCTGCGGTAGAGAGCATCAGTTCGAAATTTACCAATATCCAAACTGGGAGCATGTGGACGGTGAATTATAAATACGTCGGGTAAAACAATGTAACTAAAATTAAATCCATAAATTTATAATTGATTAATGGTTAGTGATTACTAATTGTAAGTTATTTTCACATAAACGTTTAAGTATATTTACCTATATCCTAAGGCAGTTAAATGGGTAATATATGAAACTTTATTCCAGCCAAAACCAATGAATCGTTCATCATAAAGTGGGGCTGATTTATGCACTACAATATAAGGTTCGAAATCCGGTTCCCATGTAACTTGATAAGGTTTAGTTGCAGTTTTCCAATTACTGTAATTAGTTGCAGCATGACCTTTTGTCCATACGTGGTAACGAAATGTATACAAAACACCGTAATTTAGGTACTTTAGTAATTCTTCTTTATTAACAGGAAACGTGAACCTTTAAATTACTCATGTTTATTAAATTAACTATTTCATATAATTAACAAGATAATTTTTTTGGGTAATGTCTATCCTATTCTCGCGCTAGCATTATTATTATTATTATTATTATTATTAAAATTAGCAAAGTTCCATCAAAATTGCTTACAATTCACTCAATACTTAATTACAAAGATTAAAAATTTTTTTTAATCAGTTTATAAATGCACCGCTAGGTGACGCCGTGGCGCTTTTTGTTCTCACTTGCGGAAACTTTTTTCGAAGTTTATATTTTTATTATTATTATCATAAAAATTATTAAAAATCCATTAAAATTGCTTACAATTCACTCAATACTTAACTATAAAGGTTCAAAAATTTTTTTAATTAGTTTATAAATGCACCGCCAGGTCGCGCCGTGGCGCTTTTTCTTCTCGCACGTAGAAACGTTTTTCAAAATTTATATTATTATTATTCTTATCAAAATTATTAAAAATCCATTAAAATTGCTTGCAATTCACTCAATACCTAATTACAAAGCTTTAGAATTTTTTAATTAGTTTATAAATGTACCACCGGGTGGCGCTGTGGCGCATTTTGTTCTCGCTTGTAGAAACTTTTTTCGAAGTTTATATTATTATTATTATTAATCGAACGATTAATTTAAAATACTTATTTTATCATATAAAGTCTCTTAATGAAATAGATTGTTATTATTTTTATTAAAAAAAATTTTTGATCATTTTTTTTTATTTATTTAAAAATTTGATTTAAATTTACCGAAAAAATTTTTGTTATTTTAATAATAACAGCCGAATAAATTTTAAATTATTTTAACTTGAGTTATAATTATCTTTATTATTAATCACTAGAAAAAAAAAAAAAAACAAATTTTTTTTCTTATATAAAAATTCTAATACAAAAGCAGATTGTGAGTGATTATTGATTGAGACATTACGAGGCAAACCACTAGCGGAATTGTTTGCGTTCGTCGAGAAATTCAAATAGTTAGAGGTCCAGAAGCAGCAGAAGAAAATTAAAAAATTCAATCTAGTCAACAGCAATTTATAATTTAATATAAAATACGAAAATGTGCTATTATTTAAAAAAAAGTGTTAAATTTCAAGCGTGTTAAATAAATATCAAAAAAAAAAGATATCACTGACATAATATTTAAATTAATCCATCATTGTTATCGCTCTCAATTATTTATTCGAATAAATCTATCGGAATTTTTAAAAATTTAATCTCTGCGAATATAAAATCAATTTTTATTTTATACATTAAATCAATGACCTGAAACGCTTTTCATTAAAGTATAAGAATCTTATTTCGTTATTAAGTGAGTTTTTACTTTCAATTAATTATTTTTGATCAATTAATTTTAATGAGAAATTTTTTTTATATTTTTAATTATCAGATGGGTTTTTTTTTACTATTTTTTATATATTGATTATGAGTTATCAGTAATTTAAGAGGACGTAAAGCTCAATATTATATTTAATTTCCAAGAGAAAATATAATTTTTTTTTCTTCACTAATTTACTCGTAAGAGGAGTTCATTATTTTTTAATTATAAAATTCTTCACTCTTTATTTTTTATTTTTTTTTTACCAGGTTCATGCAACACTTTAGTAATGATTATTATTAAAAAAAAAAATAATACCTGTATCGTTGTGTTTCAAATGCTGGTACAATCAATGCGTTTCTATTAGAGGCATCAGTTACATTTCTATTCAATTTATAGATATACGCTATCAATTTTTCGTATAAATCTACTGGCGGCAAAAAATCAATGTCTAATTGAAATATATACGGAGTTTGAATTTGGGAAATTGCAACGTTACGTAAGTAATTAATTGGATAAAATTCCTGGAATTTAATTAAAATTATTAAATTTAAAGAGTATGTTTCAATTTTTTCATCAGACAGAAAAAAAATTTTATTTGAAAAAAAATGAGCAATTGTGTAATAAAAAGTTAATTTATTGAAAATTTTAAACAATTTTATTTCTTAGCTGAAGAAATAAAAATTTTTCTTACAGTTAATTTCATGTTAAAAAAAATGTTTTTGGAAAAAAAAAATAATTTTAAATAAGCAACTTGCAAATTTTAATCTAAAATTGGTGTTCTATAAATGAAAAAAAAAAAATAATTTTTAACAAAAAAGTTATTGTAAGAAAAATTTTGATTTCTTCAGCTAAGAAATAAAATTGTTTAAAATTTTCAATAAATTAACTTTTTATTACACAATTGCTCATTTTTTTTCAAATAAAATTTTTTTTCTGTCTGATGAAAAAATTGAAACATACTCTTTAAATTTAATAATTTTAATTAAATTCCAGGAATTTTATCCAATTAATTACTTACGTAACGTTGCAATTTCCCAAATTCAAACTCCGTATATATTTCAATTAGACATTGATTTTTTGCCGCCAGTAGATTTATACGAAAAATTGATAGCGTATATCTATAAATTGAATAGAAATGTAACTGATGCCTCTAATAGAAACGCATTGATTGTACCAGCATTTGAAACACAACGATACAGGTATTATTTTTTTTTTAATAATAATCATTACTAAAGTGTTGCATGAACCTGGTAAAAAAAAATAAAAATAAAGAGTGAAGTCCAAATTAAAAAAATTTTTTCAACACAAAAATTCCTGAGAAAAATTTTTATTTCTTCCGTTAAGAAATAAAATTAAAAATTTTAATCAAATTAATTTTTTATTGCAACATTGTTCATTTTTTTTCAAAATAAATTTTTTCTCTCAGTGTACTCTGAGATATATTAGCAACAGTTTAGAACCTTGATAATAAATTGTTCATTAAAAATCAGGAAATTCTATTTATACTTTTTATTATAGTCTACTTCGTTAATTATATACTGAAAAAAAAAAAATTTTTTTTTTTATTGTAGTAGAATAATTATACCAACTTACCCCATCTTTATACACAACATGATAAGCGATATTTTTTCTGAATTTCAAAACATCAGAATTGCGTACAAAATCAAGAAACAACTGTACTTCTGCGTCTGTTAAATAGACAGCGACGCTGATTGTTCCAGGCCAACGTTTGCATAATTCATCTAGCAAAGTTATTCGATCAAAACTACATTGAGTCACTAGACCAACATCTGCGTCTATGTAATTATCATACTGATATTCGCGGATAAATAAATGGGTCCGATACGTAATGGCTGAATTTTTTGAAAATTTCCTACAATTATCTTTACTCTCAATCTGAAATAAATTATTTTGTAGTGTAAATATAAATAACTAAGTATTATGTTTTTAATTTAAAGGAATAACTTACGTATGTTAAATTTTTAATTGGATCGCATCCGAATAATTTACGCCTCAACAAGTTGCCATTCATATCAAGAAACACTTTGTGCATGTTATTAAAATCATTTGAATTTTTGTTTTTTACACTTTGTTTGCGTGGTGAATTCCAGTGTAATATCTACAATTAACAATACTAATTAAAAATAAATAAACATTAAAAAATTCCAGTAAAGTATTGTGTCAGTAAGGTAAAAGCCCCCATTATTGATACTATAAAAGTGATCATAAATATTGGAATTTTTTTATCGAGTTTCAAATCAATATTGTCAACTTTTTTTTATAGGACATCTTAATTATCGTTTTTATGAATATAATTTAATTAATTAACTTTAATAGCAATAAATTTAATAATTATATCAACTTAAAACCATTAAGTCGAATGTATGTATTATTAACAGCGCAGAAAATTCAAAGAGCCGATTATTGACATACCATTGACCCTATTATTGACAGGTTTTTTATTACAGTTAAATTTATATTAACAATAATTATTTTTACTAACTAATGTAAAACTATCAATAATTTTTATTATTTTAAAATTCGTTTAAGATCTAGCTTTTCTATATTTTTTAGCAATTTTTCCTAGTCTCAAATAAGGTAAAAGACCCCATTAGTGGCACTATAAGGATGGGGGTTAACAGAATGATTTTGTTATTATAGTTAAAGTACAAATATTGAATTTTTTTGTACTTCATGCCTTCATTAATGTTTAAACTTACATAATTAATTAAAAAAATTTTAATTTTTCCAAATTTACCATTATTTAAAATCCATTATTTAAATGACCCCATTAATGGCAGGGCCAATAATCCCCTGATCCAATTAGTGGAATACTAATACTGACCCCTTTAGTGGCGGATCTAACTCGTATACGTAAAATTTTTAAAAAAATATATTATAAACACTAAAGTATTATTTACAAACACATTTATTAGAAAAAGAATTATAAAATTAACAATAATTGAATTTAAAATTATTTAAGCTAAAATATATTCTTGATGACTTTTAAAAGACTCGTATTGAGATTGTTAATAACTGCACAATCAGACAGAACTTTTATCAACGTAAACAGATTTGCTATATAAAAAGGTTAGAGTGCTTTTGATTTTAACATTGCCGGTAATTGGCGCTAGAGAATTTTCATGCCCCTATTAGTGACATTTTTGTTTTTTTTTAATAATATTTATTTTAAAAAAGGTAAATAAATAATTTTGTGATTCTATAGACTTTTAAAAATCTGTAATGATATATAATTGCTAGTCATATAATTATATGAGAAAAATATTTAACAATTCGCTTTTAAAAATGTGACCAATGTTAACCAAATTATTAAGAAATTTAAAATTAGCTTGGGGTTTCAGTTTGGATGAAAAGAAAAATTATTCTTTTACTAAAAAAATTTTCCCTGAAATGAAAATTGAACATTTCTGTGATTTAATAGTCTTAAGGATTAGAAATAAAATACTCATAATAAAAATTAATGATTAAATTAATTAAATAAATAGCAAAATCAATTAAAGTGCCACTAAAGGCCTATGTCGTTAGTTGACGCAAGTTAATTTTTGTGTCCCAATCATTGACTTCCGCTATTTTTAAATAAATTTTAACTCGATAAAGTATAAATAAATGATTATATGGTTATTTAGACTATAAATAATCTAAAATCATTTTAAACAATGCAATTACATAAAAAAAACATTGAGAAATCTGAATCTGAAAATAAGGTCTTTCTTAACAATATTGTTAAGAAATTACAAACGTATAAGCAGTTTAGGCCTACTTGAAAAAATGAAAATTTTTTACGGTAAATAGTTTATACCCTGGAATTAAATTTTACTATTTTTTAATTTAAAAAATATGTAAAATTGTCATGAAATATCAACAATTGTGATTATTAACAGATTTAATAATTAAATAGGGTGTCAATAATGAAGGCTCTGTTAATAATACGGGCTTTTACCTTAAATCAACAAAATTGTTTTTAATTTAACTAATGCAATGATAAATAAATGAAACGGTACAGTAATTTGAATTCTTTTGAATCTAAATTTATGATAGAAGTAATTCATTTAAATTTCAATTATATTTCTAACTTTGAAATAAAAAACAAACAAATTTTTTAAAAGTTTTAAAGTATAATCTGGGAATCTCATTTAGAAAAACAAGTTAAAATCTGATTGTACGAGTTTTATTATGAAAGTTACTTTTTCCTTCCATTCCATTTCACTAATTAACTTTTTATATTAATTAAAAGAAAAATCGAGCTTCATATTCTTGCAATTTATTTTTAGGAAATTAAAACCTTCATAACAGCCTGATTGGATAACTAATTGCTTTGAAATTATTTAAAAACTTTAAATATTTTTCTATTAATAAGGTAAAAAAAGTAAAAAGGCGCATGATTTTTCTTAATGAAAATTAATTTAGCAGATATTTTATAATTTTAATAATTTTTTTAACAAATAAATTATGACAAAAAAATTAGGAAAAAAAAATTGACATGTAGAAATTTAAAAAAATAAAAATTGCAATTTTTTAAAAATAATTTTTTACAAAAAGACTAGTTATAGCCATTTAAAAATGACTAAATTTCGAAATTTAAAGACATAGTTGGCAATTAGGTCATTCCATGTCAAATCGACAAATAGTTGGAATCGATCCCTTTCGATTTGGACAAATTTCAATCAGAAGTTTTCGTTTATCATAAAACGAAGTTCTGCCAAAGGAAAAACAAATAAAAATTTTTTTTTAAAAGATATGTAAATTCAAAATTTCGCAATTTTTTTAGTTTTTTAATTTTGTTTTTGTAATATCTCGAACGCTATTATAGATATAGGAATTGCCTTTTGTTTGTTTGAAAGGAGACACTTAGAGTTATTAATCTTATTAGTCCAACTACGTGATAATTTTAACTAATCAAAGTGTATTGTAAATCTTACTAGTAGTTCCTCGATTAATTATATAAAGTACTAGATTAATAAGCCTTTAAATCCAACCTGTACAAAAAAAATTTTGGTTCCGGATGAACTTCAGATTGTGAAACAAATATGAATTTCATCATGAAAGTCAGCTGAAATTCCAGATGAACTTCATGATGAATTTGAAACAAATCGCATATAAAACTCAATTTTTTTAATCAGTGTAAAAATATTTGGAGACAGTTATATTAGAATTTTTAGTTTAACTTACGCTGACTCATTATTTACGATTCTTAAACTTCTATCTGGATAAATTTTTTGAAGTAGAAGAACACAATACGCAAAATAATATTTCGTAATTCATCATGAAAGTCAGCTGGAATTCCAGATGAACTTCATGATGAATTTGAAACAAATCGCACATAAAACTTAATTTTTTTAATCAGTGTAAAAATATTTGGAGACAGTTATATTAGAATTTTTAGTTTAACTTACGCCGACTCATTATTTACGATTCTTAAACTTCTATCTGGATAAATTTTTTGAAGTAGAAGAACACAATACGCAAAATAATATTTCGTAATTCATCATGAAAGTCAGCTGGAATTCCAGATGAACTTCATGATGAATTTGAAACAAATCGCACATAAAACTTAATTTTTTTAATCAGTGTAAAAATATTTGGAGACAGTTATATTAGAATTTTTAGTTTAACTTACGCCGACTCATTATTTACGATTCTTAAACTTCTATCTGGATAAATTTTTTGAAGTAGAAGAACACAATACGCAAAATAATATTTCGTAATTCATCATGAAAGTCAGCTGGAATTCCAGATAAATTTCATGATGAATTTGAATCACTCTGTATATGAAACTTAATTTTTTTAATCAGTAAAAAAATATTTGGAGAAAGATATATTGGAATTTTTAGTGTAACTTACGCTGACTCATTATTTACGATTCTTAAACTTCTATCTGGATAAATTTTTAGGAGTACAAGAACACAATATGTAAAATAATAATTCGAAATTCAATATGAAAGTCAGCTGGAATTCCAGATAAATTTCATGATGAATTTGAATCACTCTGTATATGAAACTTAATTTTTTTAATCAGTGAATTAATATTTGGAGACAGTTATATTGGAATTTTTAGCTTTATTTACACTGGTTCAACATTTGCAATTCTATAACGTCTTTTCGGATAAATTTTTTGGAGTAGAAGAACACAAAATTCAGAATAATATCACGAAATTCATCATGAAAGAATTATTATTTTACATTTTGTTTTTCTACTCCAAAAAATTTATTCAAATAGACTTTATAGAATTGCAAATGTTTTGCCAGTGTAAATAAAACTAAAAATTCCAATATGATTGACTCTGAATATTTTTTTACAAATTAAAGAAATTAAGTTTTTTATGCGATTTAGTTCAAATTCATCATGAAATTCATCTGGAATTCCAGCTGACTTTCACGATGAATTTCGAATTATTGTTCTGAATATTGTGTTCTTTTACTCAAAAAAATTTATCCAGATAGAAGTTTAAGAATCGTAAATAATGAGTCAGCGTAAGTTACACTAAAAATTCCAATATATCTTTCTCCAAATATTTTTTTACTGATTAAAAAAATTAAGTTTCATATACAGAGTGATTCAAATTCATCATGAAATTCATCTGGAATTCCAGCTGACTTTCATAATGAATTTCGAATTATTATTTTACATATTGTGTTCTTGTACTCCAAAAAATTTATTCAGATAGAAGTTTAAGAATCGTAAATAATGAGACAGCGTAAGTTACACTAAAATTTCCAATGTAACTTTCTCCAAATATTTTTTTACAAATTAAAAAAATTAAGTTTCATATACTATTTGTTTCAAATTCATGATGAAATTCATATTTGTTTCACAATCTGAAGTTCATCCGGAACCAAAATTTTTTTTGTACGGGAATTGTGTAATAAATTAGCTTAATTAATTATAATTATAATAAACATGAAATGTAATTTAAACTCTTTACTATAAATGTACAGTACTTGCACTATATAGTGTTCCTGTAATTGGCCAGTAGGCTGTTGGGACTTTAATAAATAAATAAATTAATTAATTAATTAAAAAAAAATATTTTGGAAAAAAATTTTCAAAATTGCTAAATTTTGAATTTTTGAAAATCGTTAAAAATGACGATCGAAGTTAAAATTTTAGCTCAATTTTTTTTGTATAATGTATTATACTGATCTAAAAATTTTTGAAATTTTTAGAATTTTTTTTGAATCACTCTAATGCACATATTTCTCATAATAAATATACGGATTTTGTATTACAACAATTCGAAAAGTCTGTTCAAGTACTGGTCCCATTTTTATAAGTGTTCAAGTACTGGGTACTTTACCTTATTCAAAAACTGAGTAACTGCGAAACTAAACAATTGTTTTCATTTTGCTCCTGTTTATAATAATCAAGCTTTGTATACTAGACCATTTTTTGGATCTAATTTGTAAAACTATTTTTCAACATTTTGTATTAAAACTTAAATTTTTTATGCGCTTTTTTTAGCTTGAGGCACTACTTTTCTAAAAATTAAAAGAGCGCAAGTCTTGAAATTCTTTTTTTTAGCTTTAGGATGCTCGAATTTTTTTTTTATAGATCTTTGTGTTTTGAACGATTTTAAAACAAACGGAAAAAAAATTTTTTTATGCAAATTTAGGGTTTAAAATTTAGAAAGTATAATTTAATCTAAATTAATTGAAACTAAAATAATAAATAAATAAAGTAGTTAATTTTACTTGAATTCGTTTGGCAGTGCTATAACACTGGTCGCTAATCGTGTGATCACTCAGTTGAACATTCCATGTACAGTCTAATACATAAACCATCGACGGATTGTTTTTGATAACAGCATTAATAATATCTTGGTCAGCTAAACTTGTTTCATAAAGCTCTTTGATAACATATTGTGTCGTATTTATCCACAAGTCACTAAATTTAGTTTCACGCAGTGCTTTTAAATTCATTAGCATAACACCAGTGTTAAAACCACGTCCTATTGCCGGCCATGGGCGTTGTCCACTATCCGATTTTTTTTTATACCAATCACTCTGATTTTCGGCCAACGCAAAAACATTTTTACTTTTATCTCCATCATTTTCCATTTCATTAAATATTTTCCACAGGTCGTAAATGTCGCTCAGTACAGTAATATCAGTATCCAGTACAATAACTTTTTCAATGGCTAAAATTTCTGGTAATATCACTTTCAAAAGACCATAAACCCCTGAATAATGTTTATTACGAATCCACGATACTTTTGGTATCCATATATTTGCTGGGTAAAAAATTTCATCGACTAAAATAAAAAAATTAATTAATTGATACGTACATATAAGTACCTACTAGTGAAATTGATAAATTTTTTTGCTTCAAGTCATTTTAAAAAAATTTTTTATTTTTATATTCTCTAAAAATAGAATATAAGACTTTTAATACATTTTTATCATAATTTAGTATATGAAAATATTTGGTCTTTAGTAGACAAAATACAATATTATTTCTTAATTATTGACATTTTTAAAGATATAAGCTCAATCTGATATTACACTCATGAAGACCGGTCATTTGAATACCCACACGAATTTTTTGTATATTTTATATATTTCACATATATCAGAAATATCATATATATAAAATATATAAAAAAATTCATGTGGGTATTCAAATGAAAGGTCTCGATGAGCGTAACATCAAGATGAGCTTATATCTTTAAAAATGTCAATAATTAAGAAATTACATTGCATTTTGTCCACTGATGATATTTTTAACGATATCAGCACATTCTGATATTACACTTATCGAGACCTTTCATTTGAATACCCACACGAATTTTTTATATATTTTATATATTTCACATATATCAAAAATATCATACATATAAAATATATAAAAAAATTCATGTGTGTACTCAAATGAAAGGTCTCGATAAGCGTAACATCAGGATGAGCATATATCTTTAAAAATGTCAAGAATCAAGAAATTACATTGTATTTTGTCCACTGATGATATTTTTAACGATATAAGCTCATTATGATGTTACACTCATGGAGACCTTCCATTTGAATAGCCACATGAATTTTTTATATATTTCACAAATATGAGAAATATCATACATTGATAAAAAAATTGACTTGACTCAAAAGCCAAACTCTTGAACCAAGAATTCCATTTTAAAGAGAAATATTTTCTTGAGTCAAGAGAATAAATTCTTGACTCAAGAAAATTTTCTTAGAACAAGAATAATTTCTTAGCTCAAGAATTTATTCTCTTGACTCAAGAATATCATTTTGTTCAAAATGGTATTCGTGGTTCAAGAGTTTGGCTCTTGAGTCAAGTCAATTTTTTTATCAATGTATGATATTTCTCATATTTGTGAAATATATAAAAAATTCATGTGGCTATTCAAATGGAAGGTCTCCATGAGTGTAACATCATAATGAGCTTATATCGTTAAAAATATCATCAGTGGACAAAATACAATGTAATTTCTTGATTCTTGACATTTTTAAAGATATATGCTCATCCTGATGTTACGCTTATCGAGACCTTTCATTTGAGTACACACATGAATTTTTTTATATATTTTATATGTATGATATTTTTGATATATGTGAAATATATAAAATATATAAAAAATTCGTGTGGGTATTCAAATGAAAGGTCTCGATTTTTCTTTTGGCATCTTAAAAGAATCTTAAAATAGTCTTAGTTTGTGTCACGTTTAAGATCTTAAACGAACGACAATTTTAAGACAATTTTAAGACGATTTTTTTTTACACGGGCAACTTTAGAACCAATGGACCGATTTTCGAACTTGACCAAAATATTCGTTTTTAGAATAAAGGTATTGAGTTACATCAAAAATTAAATTTTTTACTATATTTATACTATGTTTATGTACAAAAAATATTATGTACGATGTAAATATGTTTGCCAATTAACCAGTTTGGCCTTGGTATAAAATAAAGTTATCTATCTATCTATCTATATCTAATCGTGTGGATTTAAATTTCTTTAGTGCATAATCTCTCGTTTTCGTCAAATACCGAGAAAATGTTATTACAATACTAAAATTATAAATTCTAATTTTTATTATGCGCCATTCTATATTATGAATCTCTTAAAATAGCTTGAAGCAGTAAAATGTATTTCAATATATATTGCAATACTTTTTTTTTATAAAATTAATTCAGTAAAATTTATTTTTATATCAACTGTAAGAGGTATTTTTTTTTAATTTGCTTTAATTGCTAGCTTTTTAAATTATAATTATTGTAAAAATTAAAAAATTTTTATTGAAAATATAAAAAAAATTAATTAGTTATCAATAAAAGCAAATTAATAATTAATCATTTCAATAGTAGACAGTTGAGCGAATATAATTTAATAAATACCATGAGGTAAATTCCAAGTTTTCAATAAAACATTTAATGTTTTATTGCATATCTCATCGACGATAAAATGAAACCGTAAAGGTTTAGTCCGATAAAATAATAATGATTTTATAACAGTAATTAATGATTGCGTTGAATTATAATCGGCGCAAACCATAGCAATTTCAATATTGTTACAATCAGGTTTCTGTAAAAGCAAACAAAATAAATAAATCAATATTTGATTAAAAAAAATTAATTAGTTAATTAATTAAATAATATTACATTATTTATTAACTGTTCTGAATATACGTCACTCATTATTTTGGTTGGCTGTGGTAAAACTTTTTTATAAATTTTTATTTCTGATCGAACTATAAAAAAAAATTATGAAAGTTAATTTAGCAGATATATGATAATATTAAGAAATTTTGTAATGGCATTAAAGTTAGCAGTCACTTGACGATTTTTTAATTTTTTTTAACAAATTTGTTCCAAAAGATTATTTTCTGAAAATTGCATTTTCAATGTTCAAAAATTTCTAAGGTAAAAGCACAAATTATTGAATAATCACAATTGTTGACATTTCATGACAATTTTAAATATTTTTAAAATTAAAAAACAGTAAAATTTAATTCCAAGGTATAAACTGTTTACCGCAAAAAAATTTCTTTTTTTCAAGTAGGCCTAAACTGCTTATACGTTTGTAATTTTTTAACAATATTGTTAAGAAAGACCTTATTTCAAAATCCAGATTTCTCAATGTTTTTTTTATGTAATTGCATTGTTTAAAATTATTTTAGATTATTTATAGTCTAATTAACCATATAATCATTTATTTATACTTTATCGAGTTAAAATTAATTTTAAAATAGCGGATGTCAATGATTGGGACACAAAAATTAACTGGCGTCAACTAACGACATAGGCCATAATGTAAGGTAACCCAACTCCCTCAACATACATATCAACGTATTATTGTTTACATACTGTCATGTGATTTTATAAGAATCAAAGTATTTGAGACTAGAAAAAATAGCTAAAAAAAACCTGGTAAAAAATATAGAAAAGCTAGGTCTTAAACGAATTTTAAAATAATAAAAATTATTGATAGTTTTGCATTAGTTAGTAAAAATGATTATTGTTAATATAAATTTAACTGTAATAAAAGTCCTGTCAATAATAGGGTCAATGGTATGTCAATAATCGGCTCTTTGAATTTTCTGCGCTGTTAATAATACATATATTCGACTTATTGGTTTTAAGTTGATATAATTATTAAATTTATTGCTATGAAAATTAATTAAATAAATTACATACGTAAAAACAATAATTAAGATTTCCAATAAAAAAAAGTTGACAATATTGATTCGAAAGTCGATAAAAAAATTCAAATATTTATGATTAGATGATAACTGTTATAGTTTCAATAATGGGGGCTTTTACCTTATACGTCAATTTTCCTTTTATAATTTTTTTTCCATAGGGTAAATGCACCAATTATTGACCGATTAAGGTTTTCTTTTTCTGTACTAAGCTATAAAAAATCTATTAACCTACTAAAAACAATTTGTAATGGATTTTATTAAAGTTAAATATTTAATTAATAATAATTAATAACTATTTATAATAAAAATTAACAAAATTATATTAATTTTGTTATTTGAATGTTCAAATACTAAAATCACCAATTATTGACCGAAGAAACCCAATAAATGACCAACCGTTCTCCAATTAATTCACCGCTCAAACGATTATAAGTAATTTTGTAAACTACATGTATGTAATTAAATATATGCAGTACTTTTAAAGTATTAATGACATCTTTAACAAAACTAAACAAACAATATAATTTTAAATCGTACTTTTTTATAAAATTATATAAATAATAGCAATAATTAACATAAAGTCACATTTCTTTAGGTCACAAATAATCACAAATTCATTTTAATGACGATAATTCTTCTGATTCACTTGAAATTTTTTTATTCTTCTCCTTCTTTTTTTCAATTAAAGCTTTTTTACTAGCTTGTATCTCTTTTTTATTTTTTTAATTGCTTAGCAATTTTTTCTTCTAATAATTCGTTCTTTGATATAACCGTTCACTAAAAAAATTACAACAAAATAAAATTTAATAATCAAAAAAGATTTTAAGTATTATTTTAATTGTAAATATACATTTTATAATGATTATTTTTATATTTACAAAATATTGAATGACTAAAGTACTTTAAACACTTGACAGATTTAATTTTGAGCTTAAGAAGTTATTATTATAAATATACGGTCATTAATTGGATTGTGATAAAATCAGAGGGTCTAATAAATGACCGAATGAATTTTTTACTGGGTAAAGGGCTTCTGACGGATCCAATAGTTGACCGGTCTTAAAATAATATTAAAACTTATAATTTAACTTTATTTTTTCAAAAAAGTTGGAATCTGATCTTTAATTAATAACATGATAAAACTAAAATATTTTATATTATGCCGATAAATATCACTAAATTAATGATGAAATGCACTCACTCTCCAATTGTACGCTAGTTATTTTTGACCGCTTTATGACTGGTTCCGTTGTAAACAAACTCAGAATATTTTTTTAAAGCTATAATCACTGCCCAATTAATTGCGTAATTTTTTATTATGATGATTAAATGCCATATTGTTTTATTTTAATATTTTAAGAAAAAAAAAACCTTTGTAAAATATTAATTAATTAACTTTTTTATACATCGGTCAACTAATTGGTGACCGGTCAACAACTGGTGCATTTACCCTAATTAATTTATTAAAAAAATTATTAAATATCTGGTAAATAAATTTTTATAATTTTGTAAATTATGGCAAAAAAAATGAGAAAAAAAAATTGACATTTAGAAAATTAAAAAAACTAAAAATGCAATTTTTTGGAACAATTTGTTTGTTAAAAAAAATTAAAAAATAGTGACTGCTAATTTTAATGTCGCAAAATTATAATTTTTTTAATTAAAATATTTCACGCAGAAATAATTTAACAAATAAATTAATAATTACCATTTAATAATGAATATACAAATATTGTTATTGAAATAACAAATATAATTAATAAACACTTTAACCACAGTCGTGCCATTGTAATTTTCCGTACATTCTTGTTAATTATGCGTGCTAACACATATAGAAGCCGCTTGCAATAAAAATCTAAAAAAAATTCTATTACACATTTTTCAATAATTTATTAAAATTAAAAAAAAAATAATAATTACCTGTAAACATTGTTTGAATAATTATACTCCATTTCTATCTACAATTCGTGTGATGTTATTAATTATTGATGGTGAATAAATTAGTTTCCAATTAAAAATATAATTATACTAACTCACCTCACAATATTAATATGAAACATTTGAAATTCTAATAATATCCTTGTTTGAATAATTAAATTAGTCGCACAATTGAACATGCCCACATAACTTATTTATGAATTAAAACTTCCATTGCACATTGCATTAACCTAACCACTAACTGACTCTATTACTGTCATTTTTTCTCATACTCACATATATACCTTATATATGTACATATATATATATATATTTATTATTATTATGTGTATACATGTATTTTTATTTTTTTTTTTCATTTAATCTATTTAACAATCAGCATTTTTTTTTTTGATAAGCTAAAGTTAGCCGACGTGTAGACGTGTATAATTATTTAATTGTTTTTTATTTAATAAATTAGAACAAAAAAATATTTATTTAAAATTGCACTTAAAGTTTTACAACTTTTTTACAAGTCAATTTTATTTTTTTATTTTTTTGTATAAAAATTTTCAATAAAAATAATTGTAAAAATTTTTAGATGTCAGTCAAGTTTAGTTTTCATTTTTTTTTGGTTAGGTTTTGTTTATTTTTAGTTTGAAATTTTTCAGTTTTTTTTTTTTTATTTTTGAAAATTGAGACAAATTATTGAAAAAAATATTTTTATTAATAATTACACTTGTAATTTTTTTTCAATTTTAAAATGTGACATTTTTTATTATAGTTTATGATACTGAAGTTAGCTGACAACTGTCACTTTTTAAAATCTCATAACAAGTCAATTACAACAGTAAGGGCCAGTTTATCAATCCGGGATAATTATGAAAATTAAGTTAGCCGAAATATAAAAATTTTTACAACTTTTTTTTAGGAAAATTATGAAAATAAAGTTAGCCGACATTTAATAATTTTTAGAATTTTTTTTTATTGAAAAAATTATTACAAAAATATTGAAAAAAAAATTCATTTGTAAAAAATTTAAAAAACTACACGTGCAATTTTTTAAAAATATTTTGTAGTTATAATTTAATAAATTAGGTAAAATAAAAAAATCAAAAATGTCGACTAACTTTATTATTATATGAAAATTAAGTTAGCCGACATCTAAAAATTTGTAGAATTTTTTTTTTTTTTTTTGAAAAAATTATTATAAAAAAATAAAAAAAAATTTCATTTGTAAAAAACGAAAAACTGAAAGTGCAATTTTTAAAAATTTTTTTTTGTTCTAATTAAATTGTTGAAAATAAATCAAGAAATTAAAAACGTCGGCTAACTTTATTATTATCTTTTTTTTTTATTGAAAAAATTATTACAAAAAAAAATCAAAAAAAAATTATGACATTAAAGTTAGCTGTCAATTAACTGCTTTTTAATTTTTTTTAACAATCAAATTTGTTCTAAAAAATTATTTTAAAAAAATTGCAT